TACTCCTTTGAGCCACAGGTGCTGCCCTGTTTGTTTATTTCTTTACAGACAGGATCTTGCTCTGTCACTCAGGCTGAAGTGCAATGGTATGGTCATAGCTTATTGCAACCTTGAATTACTGGGGTCAAGTGATCATCCCACTTCAGCCTTCTGAGTAGCTAGGACTGAAGGCATGCACCACTGTGCCTGGATAACTTTTTAAAAATAATTTTATAAGCCAACTATGGTGGCATGTGCCTGTAGTCCCAGCTGCTTGGGAGGCTAAGGCAAGAAGATTGCTTAAGTCCAAGAGTTTGAGGTTGCTGTGAGCTATGATGATGCCATGGGACTCTACCCAGGGCAGCAGAGTGAGACAGTGTCTCAATAAGAGAGAGAGAGAATTAGCAAAAAGAGTATATAACAATTAAAACTTTGGCCAGGCACAGTGGCTTATGCCTATAGTCCTAGCACTCTGGGATGCTGAGGCAGATGGGTTGTTTGAGCTCAGGAGTTTGAGACCAGGCTGAGCACAAGTGAGACCCTGTCTCTACTAAAAATAGGAAAATTAGCTGGGCATCATCGTAGGTGTCTGTAATCCCAGCTACTCAGGAGACTGAAGCAAGAAGATCTCTTTAGCTCTAGTTCTGAGGTTGCTGTGAGCAATGATGATGCCATGGTACTCTATCCAGGCTGATAGAGTGAGACTCTGTCTTTTTTTTTTTTTTTGGTAGTGGAGAGGTCTTGCTATGTTGTCTGGGTTAGTCTTAAACTCCAGACCTCAAGTGATGCTCCTGCCTTGACCTCCCAAACAGCTGGCAGGCCACTGCACCTGACCTGCTTTTTCTGTTTTTTGCCACTAGCTAGTTTAGAAATGGGTAAAGCTATCTCATAGTCATTCAGATGAAGATCCAGATATGGATCCTTTATATATGAAACCCTTGGGGGCAGATGGATTTCAGAATTCAGAATATTGTGGATTTTAGAAAGGCAATAAATACATATTCTACATATCTGATAATATACCCTGTGGGGTCTTTAGCAATCCTGTGTGATCAAATATAGTATTTATATGGTAAAATATGTGAAGATTCATTCTAAAAAAGGGTAAGTGAAGATCTGAAAGAGGCTTTTTACAGTTTGTGTCAAAATTTCTCTTTAAATGAGCTATTTTTAAAAATTTCTTTTATCAAAATATTAAGTATTTTATTAATATTAAGGGAGTACAGTTTTGGTTATATGGATTACCTAATGAGGTATAGTAAGAAAACCCCAACCTTTTATCCTTTAGAGCCTTTGGATTTTAGAATTATGAATAAGTATTTGGGGATCTGTGCATGAAGAAATCCCAAATCATCTTCTATCATTTAGAGTGAAACATAGGAAGAAAAAAATGAAGACAATGACTTAATATAGATTTTTTAAGACTGAGAATTAATGTGAATTACTAATAGTCATTAAAAATAACTTATCAAGACGAGGACATGTCATGTATGTGTGCCAAAAAAAGGTTCTAATTGTGAGAAGTCTTTTTTGTATGTATTTCTCAGAAGGCATTAGCATATTTGATTTTTTTTAAAACAGTTCCAGTAGATACGTAGGGCAAGTGTACATATTCTTACCATTTTACAGATGAGAAAGTTAGTATTCATAAAGGTTAAATTGAATGTACTCTGGATGTTTAGCCAGTAAATGGGGGAGCCAGGACTTTTTGACTATAAATCTCACACTGTAAGTTAGGGCACTTTTTCCCTATAAATAAGAATACAAGTACCCAAGCTTGGGCATAGTTTGACTTTCTTGGTAAAGAAATATTAAGAAAACCACTGAAAGAGATATTCTAAGAGGTAGTATCTTTAGGCTATCTAGAAATTGACTTTATTCATTTTTCTGAAAGATATTATAGGGAGTTGAGGCATAGCTCATTTTCTTGGGACATCTGGTCTTAAAATAATGTCTAATGATTTTCACAGCCACGATTAACTGTCAGTGTTGGTAGTCACTTTAGTAATCCAGGTGGTCACAGTGAATGACAGTTGCCCATAACATGCTTCAGGAAATACTGTACTGAAAATAAAGAATGTGATATTTCAGATGGTGATGGGGAATGAGGAATACAGGGAATTATAACACTATTTTCAAGCTACTGTAAGTGTGTTGCATATGTAAGCTGACAGATTGAGAAACAGGAATTTAAAAAACCATATTGTTCTACTTTGTGTAGCCATCTGAAAGTTTGTTGGTAACTAAAGGTAAAAGAGGAAATTGGAAAGTAACATTTTACTTTATTTGGTGATGAAAACAGGAATAAAAAGAAATCATAAGCTTGGCGTAGTGGTACATGCCTGTAATCTCAGCTCTTGAGAGGCAGAGGCATGAAGATCACTTGAGCCTAGAAATTTCAGGATATAGTGTACTATGAGCACACTTGTGAATAACCAGGGAGCAGTGGTTCTCAACCTGTGGGTCGTGACCCCTTTTTAACAATGAAAATACATTGCAGCATTAGGAAGGTTGAGAACCGCTGCACTAGAGTCTAGCCTAGACACTATTTAAAAAAAAAAAAGGAAAGGTAACCTTAATTAAAATATGTATGTCTTTGCAGAAACATGCTAAAGGACAAGATTTGCTTAAACGAGTATGTGAACACCTCAATCTTTTGGAAGAAGACTATTTTGGTCTAGCCATTTGGGATAATACAACCTCTAAGGTGAGGCGCCTGCTTGCAATATATGAAGAATTGGCTTTAATTCTTTCGTTATTGTTATAAGAATGTATTTATACTTTCCTCTATAAGACATGGTATACTTAGAGTTATTCCTGTTTATTCTTGTTTCTCAGATTTTCCTTGTAGAATTAACATTTTAAATAAAAGGTCATTGTTGATAGGTTCTTTCATCATTGAGATAAATTATCTACTCTGTTTTTAAAAGGTAGAGAAAGTGGTTACTATGCCCCGATTAGCAAGTAACATATAGATGCCAATAACCTCATATGTTATGCAATTAGTATTGTATATAATAGGAGGTTCATAACATATTTGATAAAATATTAATCTTATAATTATATTAAATTGTGATATATAATTATAATTTGAAAGTAATGCTATATAAGGGAATAAAGTCCCAATATTATTGAAATAGTCATACAATGAACCTGACATTTCCTTGACCTTAAAAAGAAACTAGTTAACTTTCAAAGGATGTAGAAGAATTGGTGAGAACATGAAGGGAAGAAAGGTTAAAGGTCAGGTATTTTCTTCAGAACACTTGAATCATTTCCTGAGTCAATTAATTGAAAATTGTAAATATTCATCTTAAAATCTAATGATGAAAATTTTAGTCCTGTTTAGCAAGTATTAGCTGGTACAACTACAGCTGTGAATAAGGTAGACATGATCCTTGCCCTCTAGAGCTTCCAATTTTGTATGCAAATAACATTAATTACTGGTTTGATGAATGTTGTACAAAGTGAAGTATAGGATGTCCTGAAAGGGTATGACCTGGGAAGTCTTCTCTGGGGAGCTGATGGCTAACGTGAGACCTGAAGGATAGTGGTAAAATGGTCAAGTAAAGTGGAGAGAGAACAAACCTGGAGTTGAGGCCAAGAGCAGTAACTCATGCCTGTAATCCTAGCATTTGGGGAGGCCAAGGCAGGAGGACTGCTTGATGCTGTGAGTTTGAGACCAAACTAAGCAAGAAGAAGACTAAAAGATGGAATTAGCCAGGCATGGTGGTGTACTTGGGAGGCTGAGGCAGGAGGGTCACTTGAGCCCAGGAGTTGGAAGTTATAGTGAGCTATAATGATGTCACTGCACTCTAGCCCAAGCAACAGGGTGGAACCTTATTTCAAAGAAACAAACAAAAACCCAACCTGAAGTTGAGAGAATGACATTTGAGGAACTGAGAGCCATCTAGCTTGGCTGAACATAGGGTATAGGAATAGAATATACTAGATGAATCTGGAGAGGGACACGGAGAGTGGGAGGTAGAGTGAGGGGGGTACAGTGAGGGCACTAGAGAGTCTTGTATATAGTGTATTCAAGCCATTTTAGCTGGTTCTTTCTAAAAGATGATTTCAATTTATTAAGAAAAGTTGGGCTCAGTGCCTGTGGCTCAAGTGGCTAAGGCTCCAACCACATACACCTAAGGTGGCGGGTTCGAATCCAGCCTGGGCCCACCAAACAACAATGATGGCTGCAACCAAAAAATAGCCAGGCGTTGTGGCAGGTGCCTGTAGTCCCAGCTACTTGGAAGGCAGAGGCAGGAGACTCACTTGAGCCCAGGAGTTGGAGGTTGCTGTGAGCTGTGATGCCACGACACTCTACCTAGGGTGACAGCTTGAGGCTCTGTCTCAAAAAAAAAAAAAAATCATATCATCACTTTTTACCTCAAGAGCATTTGACTATAATTTTTTGGTATATAATTTTTTTAAAAACCCACCTTATATTAATTCTTCTATTTCCCATTAGTAAGGAACATTGGGGTTTATTAAAGGACAGTGCCCTCAAAACTACAGTGAACAACTTTTCTGTAGTTGTGAGCTAGAAAATTCTACTCTGAAAAGTGTTTTATCTAACCCAAGCTCAATGAGATAATTTTGATTCTCAGAAATTGAATATTTTTATATTATAAGAACCAAGAACAAACCCCTCAAACCAAAGTTGATTTGAGAATAATTAAGAATCTTTTACTTTGAAATGTAAATAAAGTTACTGATTCCTACCTATTTATTATAACTGGAAATAACTTTTTCTGTCATACAAGATTGCTTGAATTTTTAGATGTTGCTTAAATTCCTAATGGCATGCAGCAGAAGAAATCCTTTTGTCTTACAGTTGAGCTTCTAGGACATTTGTCGGGATAAAAACTTTCAGTTGCCTTGAAAAGTTTTCACCATTGTTGGTGTAATTCATACTCTGTCTTTTCAGTAAGTTTTATTTCCTTTTTAGCAGTTTACATTATTATAATTCATTTTTAATGAGCAAATATTAAATTGCTCTATTTATATTCATTTATATATTTATGTCTAAAATGTTATTAAAAGTGCTTAATATAGGCTCGGCACGTGTGGCTCAAGTGGCTAATGCGCCAGCCACGTACACCCAAGGTGGAGGTTTCAAATCCAGCCTGGGGCCTGCCAAACAACCATGATGGCTGCAACCAAAAAATAGCTGGTCGTTGTGGCGGGCACCTGGGGTCTCAGCTACTCGGGAGGCAGAGGCAGGAGACTCACTTGAGCTCAGGAGTTGGAGGTTGCTGTGAGCTGTGATGCCATGGTACTCTACCCAGGAGGACAGCTTGAGGCTCCTGTCTCAAAAAAAAAAAAAAAAAGTGCTTAATATTAAAGCTGAATAGAAAAGTACAAACCTAAACTGTGTAAAAAGAGGGCATTATATCTCTTAAAGTATTTCTGGGGATGAAGCCTCTGAATCATAATCAGCTTCAACTTCTCTGATAGTTTATTCAAGCCCCTACTGGGGAAGTCAATGGGCAAGTGAATCCTGAGAAACATCGGGCTTATCAGAGTCAGGGCATTAGCAAGTCTGGAGTATGGGCCAGGTTCTTGTAAGACATGTAGGAGGAATATGTCAAAAGGAATGGGCTACTCTATATTTTCTGCTTCTGAGTTCATCTTGGTCAACTTATAGTTCTCAGAAGTAGGCCAAAACAGAATATTTCTTTGGGTTAAAATGAGAATCCTTAGTTGATCTAAGAAACAAGGCCTGGAAGGGAAAGCAGGAACATGGGGCAGCCAAAACTTGTACAAAAATGAATCGGGAGAAGGTTTATTTTAGTGTTGTCAGGATAAAGGTTGAATACAGTAACAAAAGTCATATTGGTGATGACAGTCCTTCCTCATATGCTATCTCTTAAGCCATGATCCTCTTGCCTAGATGAATTGTTTCTGTCTTATATTTGATGCCCCTGGTATTTCCCATCACTCTCATCCTGGGGATTTGCTTTGTGTCTGTCCTGTGATGTTTCTCTGGTTTCCTTTATCCCGGCTGTTCTTTGTGTTTTGATAGAGTGCTACTCCTGAGAAATTGTACAAGGGAGGAAATCTCTTTTGAAACATTACATATCTGAAAAATGTCTTTATTCTCCTCTCACATTTGATTGTTAGTTTGGTTGGGTATAGAAATTTAGGCTTCGAATTACAATAGTACTTCCATAGCTGACCACCACCCTACATTGACTGCCTCCTTAAGTTAATCTGACTTTCATAGACCAGATAGGTGCCACATGTACATATCAGTATAGTGGGCCTAGTTTCTTATCTCGTCCACCTCCATATATTGACCAGTTTGTTACAGTCCATTGGGTGTTTAGCTTAAAGAAGTTCTACTCCATTTGTCTTCCAGTTTTCAGGGTTGCTCTTGAGAAGGCCAAAGCCATTGTGATTTTTGATTGTTGGTATTGACTTTTGTTCTAATTTTCTGGTTGAATAGAATCTTTTTTATTTTTATCTTTTGTCCTTAAGGTTGCGAGATTTCACAGTTAGATATTTTGTTTGGGTTGATTTTCTTCTATTGTTCTGGGTCCACATCTGTATTCTTTTTTTTTTTTTTTTTTTGAGACGGAGCCTCAAGCTATCCCCCTGGGTAGAGTGCCATGGCATCATGCTCACAGCAACCTCCAACTCCTGGGCTCGAGTGAGTCTCCTGCCTCTGCCTCCCAAGTAGCTGGAACTACAGGCGCCTGCTACAACGCCTGGCCATTTTTTGGTTGTAGCCATATTGTTGTTTGGCGGGCCCGGGCTGGGGATTCGAACCCGCCACCTTAGGTGTATGTGGCTGGCGCCTTAGCCACTTGAGCCACAGGCACTGAGCCCACATCTGTATTCTTTACCAGACTGATTTCCTTAAGAATGCCCACATTGCCTGGCTTGAATGTGGTAGGCATATAATAAGTGCACTGAAAGAGTAAAACATAGTGTTACACTTTAGAGCACAGCTTTGTCACTTACTAGTTGTGAGTTAGGTTAAGTTACTTTTACCTCTGTTTTCTCATTGGTAAAATGGGAATGAGGATGTGATAATCTATAAAAGTATAAAAGCACATAGAAGGGTGCCTGAAACAGTAGTAAGTATTGAATAAAAATTAGGTATTATCATTGTTCTTATGACAGTATTATAATTTTATAATGAAATTACCAACCAAAGCTTTTGCTTAAAAGAAAAAAAGATTTGTGTGTCATAATCTAGAGGTGCACTCCAGAGCATCTTTCAGGTTCAATAATCTACCAGCTTTTTACTCGTGTAAAAGGTATGCCAAAAGAATAGCATACCTTTTACTAAAAATTGATTGCATTTAGCCACATTATACCACTTTTTTTAGTTATTGGAAAAAGATAAAATTATATCATTTAAAGATCTAATTGACTTTTATTCAGGATTCATGAATCACACAGCCTCCGTTCCACAAAACAGAATGAGCAAAGGCAGAACAGTGGGGTTTGTGAAGTAGAAACAAGAAAACAAAACAATAGAAAAGAAAACTAGGCTGGGCTGGTGGCTCACACCTGTAATCCTAGTGCAGTGAGAGGCAGAGGCGGGAGAATCACTTGAGCTCAGGAGATGAGCCTAAGTAAAAGGGAAACCCCCATCTTTACTAAATACAGAAAAAATTAGTCAGGCGTGGTGACACATACCTGTAGTCCCAGCTACTGGGGAAGATTGATTGAGCCTGTGAGTTGCAGTGAAGTAGG